GGGTTCCCCCCCCCCCCCCCCCCCCTTTAGCCGCCCCCCTCACCGCCCACACACACCCACCCACACCCACACCTTAGCCAGTTGCGGCGGCCTCCGCAGGTGCGGACGACTGCGCGGCCTTTTGCGCCAGACGCCAGACGTGGCTGATAGATTCTCGCTCCTGTGGGCAGTTCTCCGCATCCCGGGTAGAGCGAGCTCCCGAGGTGCTACCCGCTGCGCGCATTGGACTCCAAGTCGATACGAGCGCGCCGCGCGTGGAGCACGCGGCGCGCTCGCATCGATTCGCCACTTCCAGCGTGAGGTCGTGTGTAAATAGCTTCAAAGGAGGACCAAAAGGGATCTCTCTCCGTTCTACTAATGCCCTCAAAACAGGGACCTTTGGCAAAGGGGCTGGGAATGCTGCGCCGTCTCGCCCCGCCAGCGCCACCCCCCGCGCCGCCCGCGCCCGTCCGCCGTTCGACGACCAATACCATTCATCGGGACGCGGGGGCTCTCGGCTACGGACGGCCTACGGGACCGGCCCCAGCTTCGGCTGAGGGCTGAGGTAGTGGTAGTGGTAGAGCCCGACAAGCTGCCGAGCCCGAGGAAGGAGGTGGGGTCCTCACCCGCCGTCACCCCGGCGGCCCGCGCACGCACGCCGTCTGAGCCTAGCGCAGCGCGAACTCGCTCTGAGCCTAGCGCAGCGCGAGATTTGCGCAGCAACCCGGCCGGGCAACCCTTCAAAAAAGTTATTTTCTTCCAGGTCCACGCCCCTTTGCCCGACGCGCCCCGGTTTTTTGCGATGGCAGCGTCGTCCACCGACGATTCAGCCCTCATGGCGGCCATCCAGTCGCGCGACGCCGCCGTCAAGCCGCTGCTCAGGTGTGTGTGCTGGCAACGCGTTCTCCTTCCAACCCGCGCGCACACGGCACTCACGTCCGACTTGCGTGTGCGCTGATTGCCCGGCAGGAGCGACCCGCAGTCCGCTTTGCGCTTATCGCTCACCGATCCGCCGTACGCGACCAAGACGGCCGCGGTCAAGGAGGCCTCGTTCGAGGCGCGCAGCTCCGCACTTGCCACGCGTTTTGCCCTTTTGCCCCGCCATCGGTCACATTTAGCTGTGCGTGCTGACAAGGTGGTGGGCAAGGCACTGGTGGCGATAAAAGAGGCGGACATCGAGGCGGCGGTGAGTGCACTCTCGCTTGACGAGTGCGACGTGCTGATGAAGTACCTCTACCGCGGCTTTGGGATGGAGGGGCGTGAGAAGCTATACCCTGCGCTGCTCAAGGCGCCGCGAGGGGCGTGCGCCGTCCCCGCCCACCCTACTGCGACGACACCACCTCCCCTCCCTTCCTGCCCCCCTCAGTGGCATCCGGTCGTCTTGCGGCGCGCTGGACAGGCATCCATCGTGCGCGCCATCTCCGAGGTCCAGCGCGGGCTGTAGAGCGCGCCCAGGGGCAGCTACGTCTTAGTGTGCGCATGCTGGGGCTTCGTGTGTGTCTGCGAACGCTGTATCTGCGAGCGAAGCCAATCTTCTTTTTCGGAGGAGAGCCGTCTCCATCGTTCACTCAAATCTGCGAACACCCGGCAAGGGAGGGATGGGAGCACGGGAATTTTGGAGCACGAGGTTACTTTTTGAGACTGGGAACCGAGCAAGTGCGCTCGCCGGTCCAAAGTGGGGTCGCGGGTGGCCATGCGAAGTGGTTTCGCGCACTGCCCGCTGTAGCCCCCCCGAGGCGCCGGAGCGTGACCGAGTGTCGCCCCATGACCCCCGGCGCCGGCCCGAGCGCTGAGACCGAATGTGAAGCCAATGCGCGTGCGCCCCAAGCGCGGCACTCCTCGGCTACGGCATGCTGACACGGATCCCTATCCTCTCAGATTGCTATCGATCGGCGATATTGGATCTCGCACGCGACGTCGACGACTGACAAGGTAAACGCACTTTGTCAATGTGCAGGTCGAGCTACCAACCGTTGCGGAGCGGTTCAGCCTCGGAAGCCATACTATGGTGAGGCGGGGATTAGGTGGGAGGGCATGCGCTCGCACACATGAGTCCGGGAGAGCTCCCCGCCGGCGCTTGGTGCCCCAGCCAGCTCCGCCTTGCCGCGGCCCCTACGCAGGCGTCCAGCACCGACATCGTTTGCGAGCGTCGGGTGTTGGCTACTCTCTAGCCCCGTCACCCACCGCGCCGTCACCGGCCGCTTCGCGGCGTGCGAAACGCTCGCGTCTCCGCCACCGCTGGCCACCTCCGCGTTTCCCTGCGCCGCCACCAGGGGGACGCTTGCGCCTTGCCCCCTGGCCTGACGCGCGACCCTGCGCAGACGGCGCGCTCCGGCACGGAGCAGCGACCGCCCAGGCAGTCGCTGCTCCGCCCGCGCACCGCTGCCGCCGTCGCCGCCGCCGCTCCGCCCTTTCCATCAGTGTGTCTCGTGTGTGAGAGTGTGCTGTCTGTCACGCTTGTACCTGCGAGCTGCGTCTCTCCTCCGAGGCTCAGGCTGTGTCTCCTCTCATAGATCTGTCAACGAACCGCTGTCGCACATCTTTGAGTCAAACTCTCTCCTGTCGGTGTCGAGGCTGTCGCGTGTCGTGTGCGCGCGGCGATTGTAACCCGGGAGGCCTGCGCAGCTTCTAACGATGCACAAAAACGGGCCACACAAATGCCGTAAAGGACAGGCGTGGGACGTGAGGAGACGCGCGGCCGACACCGCCCAGCAGCGGCTCTGCGGAGACACACACAGGAAGGCGCACGATGCGTACAGTGATCGCCTGTCATGCGCCATCACCGACGTCGGGCGGGAGAGGAGCTCCAGCCAACAGTAGTGGCGAGCCAGTTTGCGCTGCACGATGAAATAGTACTCGTGCTGACGCATCCTCGCCCGAGTCATATTCCAAATGCCCTGCGACACCCCGCGTGCGACGGGAAGAAGAGGTGCGAGGCTGCGAAACTAAGAGCTTGATCGCGCCTCCAACGTCAGCGTCGGGGCGCAGTGACGAGCTCGAGCAGCTCTCGTCGAGCAAGCTCCGCCTCCGAGCTCTCGCAGCAACCATGCGCGTGCGCGCAGCCCAGGATCTCGCTCAGCGCCTTCCGTCCTGGGGGTTTG